TTGGGTCTCAGCTTTTTTTCCGGCCGGGGAGGGGTGATCCTGATTTTTTTTTTTTTTTTTTTTTTTTTTGCCAGCAGGTACCTTTGGGAGTGAGCTTCCTGGGGGGCATCTGGGTGGGTGGAGGAGGCATTTGTGCCCTTTGGCCAAGGGTCTTGCTGGGCAATGCTTTGCCCCACTACTGCAACAAGCCTGGAGGAGCAAGGGGCACACAGAGCTGGTCTGCAAGCACTGAGGATGTCATGTGGCTGCTCTGGCTGCTCATCTAGGTCTCTGGTTTTACACCACCCCAGGATCTCTCATAGCCAGCAAAGTATCCCAGTGAGTGCTGCCTGGGAAGGATGCTGCAAGACCTAGGGGCTCTGCAAAGAATTGGCTTGTTTTCCTTGCAGGCAGGGCAAAAAAAGTTATTTGGTGGCAGTCCAAGACACATTTTCCATAGGAAACAACCCTCTACAGAAAAAAAACCCACCAAACAACTTGCTTTGCAGTTTCTGGGCTTTTCCCCCGTTTTCAAGAAGATTTTTGCCTTATTTGTCTTGGTGCTTTCTTCCCCTTGGAAAAGAAATTAAACTCGGGCAGATGATAAGATGCGGTTTAGAGATTAAAGGGAAACCCAGGAGGATTTTGTACCGAAGGCGTGGAAACCTCAGTGCTGGTGCGTTCCGGCTGTGCGGTGTTCAAATGCCATCTAGTGGCACGGGGTGGGAAATGGGACGGCAGGGAGTTTTGGGGTGTCTATGGTGGGCTGGGCAAGGTCAAGAGTCCAGTGGGGACACTTGGCTTGTCTGGCTTTGCAACTGGAGAGCATCCGCAGGCAGCCTTCGGAGGGGAATATTAATAGCTAAATATTAAGTGCTGTTAACAACAAGGTGAGGTGGGAGTGGTGATGTGCAGGATGTGAAACCTGTCACCCGAAGGGACCTGGGGACCCCCCCAGGGATGTGGGGGGGGGTCAGAGTGAAGCAGTGAGCTGTAGGGAAGCCCTTAGCATCACCCGGAGCTGGGGCTGCTGCCATCCCCTGCATGGGCTCCCCATGCACAGCTCAAGCAACCCAACCCAAATCCTGCTTTTCTATCACTAAGATGACATTTTTTTGGGTGGAAAAAGGTGCACCCAGGGAGGGTAACCCTAAACGAGCTCAGGCAGCATCCCTCTGCCCACACCAGGCTGGAGTGAGTGGTCCCACCATACTGGGGACCCCACCCCGTGTGTGGGGAGCCATGCACCCCCAAAAGGTGCCCAGAGCCCAACTGATCCCCCATGACCCCCTGCGCTCCCACAGGCCCCCTTTTCCTGGGATTACCACCCTGCCAGCTGCTCTCCCGGCAGGCCTGGCTGACAGTCCCTGAAATCCTATTACTGAGTTTCAGAAGAAATAAAAAGTTAATCATCTCCTTCGCCTGCTCTTCCTCCTCCTCCCACTGCAGGGGCTTGTGGAGGTGGCCACGCTGATGCCGTGAGGCTGCTTGGACTGCTGTGGCTGCAGCTGAGCCCATGGATCCGGCCCCGGACTGGTAGGGGCTGCAGCGCCAGGGGGTCAGTGGCCGGTGCCAGGAAGGAGGTCGGGGCACAGCGGAGGGAGCCATCCTGCTCGACGCCGGGCTGGGAGCCATGCCGCTGCAGACGGAGATCCTGCGCGAGGTCTGGGCTGCTGACAGGTGAGTGCTGGTGTGCATGATGCGACCTGGTGGGTGGGGAACGCGCTGGGCATCCCCACGGGGCTCCCACCTCCTCCAGTGCCTTTTTCTCCTATTTTCAGTTTAAATGCAATTTAATGAGCTGTTTTATTTTTTTGTTGTTGTTGTTCTGGGGGTCAGTGTGTATGATGATCATTGGCTTACAGAGAGCAAAAGTGTTCGTTGTGGGGGGTGTCCCCAAATTAACTCCATTGCTGTCACCCTTGGCCATGGCAGAGCCCGCCCCCGGCTCCCTGCTAGGAAGGGTGCTGTTGGCCAAGCTCGACCTGGCTGAGACAGGGAGATCTGCTTTGGAGCCAAATTAAAGGCTGACCTTCCCTCCCCCACCCTGAAAACTGGGGTGGTACTCAGCCAGAGGGTCTCGTTCCCCTCCCGGAGCTGTGGAGAGCTGAAAGCCCTCACCCCTTTGCTTTCTGTGCCCCACAGCCCCAGCGAGGAGCCGGGCAGCCCCCAGCAGTACAAGCCCAAGCAGGTGAGCAAAAATCCTTCCCCTCCTGTTCCTGCTGCCACTGTCCCCTGCTGTAGGCTGTCCCTAAGGGCTGGGGACATTGGAGATGCCTAAATCCCAGCCCCACACTGAGACCAAATTGAGGATGGACGGGCTGCTCTGTTGGGGTGCTGCAGCCACGGGGGGCTTAAGCTTTTGGGGACCCCCCTCTCCAGAGCAGGTGGGTAGAGGAAATCCCACAGCCTGCCCCTGCTCCTTTGTGCATCCTTCCAAACCCCTTCTCCATCACTTTGAAGCACCCCATGAGGTGGTTCTCAGTTCCTAATTAATGCTTTAATTAAGCCTCTCAGTTAAGCCATCAGCCGTGACTCACTTTCCCCAGGCCGTGACCCTGAAGGCCAGACCTCCCTTCACTGTGTTTTGGCATAGTCCTTGGGTGCCACCCGGCCTCGGAGGGGTCTCAGCAGCAATTTCATCAACGACCTGATTTAATCAGCAGCCCCTCCTCAAAGGGCTTCGTTAAGTAATGAAGCAAGTGGCTGTCGCAAGCTGCTTAAGGGATTAAAGGATGGGAAGGAGCTTTTCAGTGTGAAGCTGATGACATGGAAGAAATGAGACGGTTCCCAGCTCTGCCATGGGACTCGCAGCTTCCCCGTGGGACTCACAGCTTCTCCCCACCAAATCTGAGGCACTGGGATCCTGCTGGGATCTGGCTGGATTCCCCCCCCCTCCATTGCAAAACGCCTTCACTCACCACACTGGGGAATCCGGGAGGGATGAAACCCCTGTGAGGGGGAAGGTGCTTTGTTGGGTGGTGGATGCCCCAGTGCAACTGGATTTGCTTAAATCACTTTCTGAGGGCCCCGAGCTGACACCCACTCCCCAAATATCTCCTGCCTGGAGCCAAGTGCTGCCCCACATGCTCCGTACTTGGTAAATCAGGGTTATTTATAGCCCCAGCTAACCAGGATTAGGTGTGCTGTGTCTAATCCCCCCTGCTTTCCCGCTCCTGCTGACCTCCATCCTGGCATGGCCTCATGGCTCCTTGCCTTCAACGGGAGCCTTTTACATGGGCAAAAGGGGGTGGAAGTGTAGAGCCAGGCTGCCTGCCTGTCCTTGTGTCCCCTGTCCCCACTCAGGTCCCCCAGGATGCCCACTGGGAGATGAGCCGGTGCCCAGGGTGGCTCCTGGCTGGGGTCCCTACGGCACGGCATGGCTTGTCCCTCTGTGCCAGCATGGTCTGTGGTATCGGGACAGCACCAGCATCATGTCCCTTGTCCCCAGCGCTGGCATGTGGCCGTCTGTCCCAGCGCTGGTGCTCTCCTGCCTGTCTGCTAACAGCCCTTTCTGTTTTCCTCCCTCTGCCTTCCCCGGGGGCCTGCCCCATGGTAAGTTGCTCCCTTTGGTAATGGCTCGTTTGAAGGTGCAAGCGTGTCCCTCTCTCCCTGGAGCGGGTCCCTGCTCCAACATGTGACCGGGGAAAAGCCTGGCTATATTTCAGAATGGGAGCCGTTGCTGTATGAGCAGGGGTTGCCTTGCAAAGGGAAAAGGGATTTAAGGCTGGCACCGTCTTTGCAGCACTGTCTGCAGGGGCAGAAGCTGAAGAAGAAGCGGCAGGAGCCTGTGCCAGAGCCTGAGGCCAAGGCCCGGCAGCTGCGGGCGAAGAAGCTGGGTGAGGCAGGGGCTGCGGAGGAGCCCCGGGCCCTGGCGCAGGGTAAGAACAGCCCACCCCCAGCTCCCTTGGAAGCAGGGGGACACCCTGGTCCCCCCCATGGCCCCAACCTGCACCAGCAGTGCTCTCCATCAGGGGCATCTCTTGAAATGCGCAGGGGTGAAGAAGCTGAGGAAAAAGAAGGAGAAAGGGGAGGAGGACAGCGACAAGGACCCCTACTCCAAATTCACCAGGGAGACTCGGAAGAAGAAGGAGAGCCCGGCCCCCCGCTCCTGTGCGGCCAAGGACCCCAAGAAGCAGCAAGGTGTGGGGGGGAGGGGGCAGCACCCACCCCTCTGCAGGCATCCGCTCGTGGCACCTCATGTCCCTGTGCACCACATCCCCATGCACCATATCCCACCGGTGCCATCGATGCTCCCAGTGTCTGCAGAGGTTCTGCAGGTCCCTGTGGGGGCTTTTTGGCCAAAACCCAGCTACACACCTGGCAGGAAAGGGGATGTGGCAGGGGACCTGCATGTGTGGCGTTGGCTGGGGAGTTGGGGCGGGGGACAAGCTCCCTGGGAATGTGGCATACGGTGGCCGCCAGCTCCCCGGACATCCTTCCGAGCAAAAAGATGGGGTGGGCAAAAAGATGGGGCGGGCAAAAAGATGGGGCTCGTCTCCCCGCCCCCCCCCCCCCCCCCCCGCA